AAGTGCCCTCAAATAATTGCCCCAAAGGATAGGGTTGCTATATTTACTGGTAGCCACCATTAATCTGAACTCTCGTTGATCCACCATTTTTTAAATCTGACTGGAGAATCCTGCCCTTACAATACTACTGTCATCATTGTTGGGCAAGTTCCAAAGCGGGGCGACAAGTGTCGCCAGTTAGCAGTTTCTTGCATAACATAACCTCACTGAGAATCTCAGCTGTCCTGTCACAATAACAATACTTACATAATTTGAGCCCCCAAAAATGGCTCAACCGAAGGCTGCGGCCCAAACGTACAGTTACTTTGACACTCCGGATGGCGAGGAAACTGGGAAGAAGTTGCTGTGTGTACTGAGAACGGCTGTGCCGGCGTCGATTTCCGTTGCCTTGGGTAATGTGGTAAGTGTTGGGCTCCATGCTACTGAACTGCTGCGTTAGCTGATTTCTCCTGCAGATGTTGTACAGCCACCCGAAAGGCATCGTAAACACGGGGTTAAAAATGGCATCGATAACCCTGCCCATGGTGGGGATCGCCAGCACTTTTGTGCTCGCCACAAATGGCCTGGCCAGTATTAGAAAGAAAGATGATCACCTCAATTGGTTCCTTGGAGGTAATTGGTGTTGGACTAGTTTGGCGGTTTACTGACAGGGTTCGGTCGGTAGGTTTCCTAGCGGGAAGCTGCACGGGGCTGTGGAGGAGGAACCGAATGTTTGGCTTCAACATGGGGATGCTGGGAGGCATCCTGGCGGCCGTGAGAAAGGAACTGCTAGTACAAGGCTGGGATATTGTGCCCCAAGACTATCAAGTAATTGCAAGGGGGTGAGTAATATGAACATTTATAATTCGGCCTGTTTGCACTAGTTTCATCCTGGCGGTCCCACCTTCTGTTTGATGGACTATTCGCTTACAAAGGAGCGGCCCAAAAATTGGACTACCGGACCATCGCCTTAGGGAGTATTGTCGTGTAGTTCCAACATGGTAATTTACGCAAATTAGACAACTGTGGAGTTGAGTTGTTTGTTTATTAAAAATACATTCGGTTTCTAGACGTTCGCTTAGTCCTGATTTTCCTTTCTAATCCACATCGCGTACTTCCTTGCCGCCACTCTGAAACAAAATGCATCGTGAAAGACAACTGAATACCGACGAATTGCAAACAAAATCTCTTTGGCTGCTTAATCAGGTATGTGGTTTTAATCACAAAGCTTCAGGTGAAACACGGACATAAAATTATCATCATTCTGGGTTGCCGTTCAAAGTACAATTGGCGGCATCAAAGTAGACGACTTCTAAAGTCGATTTTTCCCGATTTTGGCAAATCGGGCTTTGAGATACGCTAAATGTCGCACCTTATACTTTTATGTGTCGTCGACTGTACTTTGGAGCGTTTTATTATTTTCCTTACCATTTCAACTCGTGGTTTAGTTCTGGTTGGGTTCTAGTCCTCAGGTCCCTGGACCTGGAAGAAAAACAAAGTTAACAACTATTCCAGGACTCGCAGAGGGAGGTAAATAGGACTTGAAGTGTCAGCTTTGTAGTTGATAATCACAGAGATTCAGGTGAAACACGGACAAAAAAATCATCATTGATGCGGGAATCTGGGTACTTTTGGCGCAAGGCCTGTTTTGGGAGTCTTACCTGGTTCTCCAAACTGGCAAGTTCAGGTGCCGTGCAACGAGGAATGGCACCAAAAATCTTTACAGTTGCTATCGTTCCGATTTTGATTCAATTTCCCCATTTTGTTGCTAAATAACTTCGATGATTCTAGATTGAAAACATGACGAAGAATGAACGAATGGCTCTTCAGTTTTCTTGAAGTTCGACAACTAAACTGATCTGTCACTGTCATTTGTTATGTCAGAAACTTCTTCTTCTTCTTTATCTTTGGCACAGGTTCTTCAGGGCCAGGATGCTCGGGGGCTGTCTTTGGTTATGTGCCACTGTAAAAAAGCGAATGAAATGAATGAAACTTGAAATATGTTAACTTTCCTAATAGCAGCTATGGAAACTTGACATCTACAACTATAAAATCGAAAAATATACTTGGGTTTTTGGCAGCTTTAGTTTAAAAAAGAAAAATAAAAATTTTGCAAGCCACCAAAAAAACATGGCATTTTCTGTATTTACTTATTCCGCGATTTATTCTTTAAGTCTTCGGCTTTGGTCGTTATTTCTTCCAGTTCTTGAGCTATGTGCAATTCGGATTGTTGAACTCTTGCATTTCCGGGAGTAAGTAGAGGCGATAATCTAAAATTCAACAAACATTTGGCAGCAAACATTCTCAAACAGACCATGAAAAATTCCAAGACCTGATAGTTAAGAACAATTAAGCACGAGCATACATACCGAAAAAAGAGGGCTAAAAATGAAAATCACTTATACATTGACAATTAAGCACAAAAAATACAACAGTTTTTAATGTTTTTTTGAAACAGACAGTTGTTTGACAGCTCAACGGTTAACACCTAAATCTGCTACATTTGGCAATGCTCAGCTAGGCGAGTCATTATTTACATTTACGACATTTACATATATGTTTTCAGAAAATCATTCAACTAGGAAAGTACAAGCAGTAACAGAAAGATCCTAAAAAGTACGCATTTTAAAATGTTGTAGCAAAAAGTTTTATGTTTAAATAAACTAAAACAAAAATAACTGACAGGGTTTATTCGAAAAAGTTGCTGGCAATGTGGCCGTTGCATTGGATTAGATTTAACTTTGGGAAACTTCACTACTTTGAGATGAAATCAAACGCCCATGAATACACTATAATATATTACATCTTACCCTTAAAAGAGGTATAATAATCAGTCGGAGTTTTTTCGCTAAAACTATTCAATTTGCCTTAATTAATATCTATATAACTATCACCTCCAGTACTTTGTGATGCTGCAAGGCAAATTCCTCGTTTTCCTCGGGGCTTATTGTTGTCTACTGCGCAGTCGGGGGCTTGATCTCCTGGCCATCGCTGTCAAATTGGGAGGCCACAAAGGCAATGCCCCACTTCAAGTTAGTCAGCATGTACTTCAGAGCTTTGGTCCACTGCTCCTCTGTAGTGATCAGAGTTCTGCAAGCCAGCGCGCCTCTGTAATCCCCTCCAAGTTCCTCACCTCTTCTTACCTTATGGAATACTGGATGTTGTCGCGGCCCACGATTTTCCCATTTTGGATGCGATAGGGAAACTTGAACTCTTTTTTTTCCGCCTCCACTCTTTCCATGAATTGCTGCATGCAGTCGAGGAAGGCCACCATGGCCACATCGAACTTCGTGTCCCAGACGTACTTTGGCCCGCCCGAGCCATAAAGCGGAATTTTCTTGTTCTCGCCCACTACCTAAAACGCCCCTGGGCCAGTGGCAGACAATCTGATTGGCTAGAACTCACCTCCATGTAGGAGTGGTTGCCGAACGGCACCGCCCGATAGCGCTTGAACACCAAATTGAGCTTGCGAGCGAGCGCGCAAAAGAGCAGCGTGGTCTGTCCCCAAGCGGCGTTGATTTCCGGCCAGGAAATAGGCGCAGTCGGTAGGGTGCCTAAGGGGAAGTTGTTGATGGTGGCAAAGTGGCCTTTGTGCCAGATGTGGAACGTTACGTTGAACACATTGGTGTTGCGTAGTTTCTCCAAGTGAGTTTGAGCGGCCGACAGCTGGCACTTTAAGCTGCAAGTTGATAGTGAGGATAGTGAGAAAATTGAACCGGTGACCACTCACCTCCTGTCCTCATCTTCTGCAATGAGCCACTGACGCTTGAAGCGCGCATACTCTCGGAAATAGCGCTCTTCTTCCTGAGTGATCTGCTTGCTGCGCTGCTCCTGCTCGGCAATGGCCTGAAACCCTATTGGTCGTCAACCAGCCTATCGTCCGTCCAGTCTTACCTTCAAAGTGACCTCCTCCTCTTGCCTGAGAGCTTGGAGCTCCTCCATTAGCCGCCCTTCCTCTTCTGAGAGATCCGCCAGCTCTTTCTCCAGCTCGGCCAGCTTGGGCTCGGTCTCCTCCGCCTGCAAACTACTCGCCCGTTTCCGTCACTCCTCTCACCGCGAACCTTCAAGCTACATACACGCTATAATACTTCTGGTAGTCGTCGTGATCCTGAATGGTTTGTGCCAGCTGCTCTTCCAGGATTTCGATCAAATAGTCGCTGCATTCTTCACAGAGAGGATGGTCGATTTCTGAGGTCCCGCTCAGGTGGTCGAAGAGGGCGGCTTTAGTCTGGAAAGAAGTTTGATTGGTTTTGAAGGTTCAGTTGGGGAAAAATACCAACCCTAAACTCGTTGCTCAGCAAGTTCACCTCCTTTTCGTCTGAGACCAGCATGAAACCGCTACTGGTGGCATTATGGGAGTCTGATAGACGGCAGGCCGAGATGAAATGGTCAAAACTAGTCACTTGCGACTCTAGATCGATGTCGATGCTGGAATGTATTGGCACTGAAACAGGGCCAAATTACTTTATTGCTGTCAGAGCCTCGAAGTTGAATGATGGGGCTGCTTTAGGGCCACAACAAACAAAGAACTTGGCACTTTCTACTCACAATTCAGCTCGGCTGAAATGTGTTCGCTGAACGTGTGCAGCGATTCGTCGAGCTTCAGATTCTGCGAACATCGCTGGCAGGTGAACGAAACGAATCCTTTATCGTCGGCCATTATTTTCGTGCGAAATTCGCTCGTCTACATGGTTGAGATGACAAA